GAACCCGGATCTCAGTTATGCATGGACGGATTTCGTTCAAATTTGGTACTTACATTAAACATAATAGGACCTTGATGCATGTCATTTTTTTTTCCGGATCAAGTTCGAAATGGCCGACTGGCGGCCATTTTCTTAATGAATTCAGTTCTGGATCCGTATCCAAGACATGTCTGGATTGATCAAGTTCAAACTTCACACACACATGGTGCATCATGTCACAAATAGATATGTGCATTTGTTTCATGATCCGCTTAACAATAGCTGAATGATGGCCATTTTAAGACCGAAAATGCATTAAAATCACGTATTTTCACAATTCCGGAACCAGATCTCAGTCATGCATGGATGGATTTTGTTCAGATTTAGTACAATGTGTTGTACATATGCAGGTGCATTTCGGTCATGATCTGCTTTGAATGTATATGTCACTCAAATATGAACGGAACGGGGACGTGTCATTGACAATGACTTGTTTCCTTTTGTTTCAACCCATGTCAATCCTGATAAGGACATTGTCTAGCTCCTCTTTGATGTCGATGATAGTTTGCGATTGTTTACACAAGTAACGAGTTAGCAGAATATAATATAACCTCGCAAATTTTTTAATGCGACCATAAATAAATGCACATTATGAAACCACGGTCATCACACATGCGCACTGGGTTTATTTAGGTGTGAAAGGTAAAAATACGCATTTCACAGCCAGAAATTCAACAGATGAACATGTTTTAATTATTAGCAATTGTAACAAAAACAAGATTTTGAGGGTCTATCACAAAAATTACTAGGACTCCTAAAAAATATTATCACAGAGAAAGTGTCTAGGCATGCCCTTATTTTGATACTATCCTTTCCTGTGGTTTTGAACAGTTTTAGACGTCAAATCCACGCATTGACAATGGTGCCATTGAATAATGCAATAGTTATTGTCACAGTCAATCATTGATTACGTCTCAAAACCTTACAAATACAAAAAGATTCACAACAGTTCTTCAATCAATGTTATATCTGCCAATTTTTCATTAAAGTTCGCCAAGATCATTCAAACTTGATGTTATTTTCAGTCTTGTATGTGCGCAGTTCGTCTATCGCTTCCGAACATGCTCTGAATATTACCGAATGCTCAAGATTAGCATAACCCATTGTACGGAGGTACTAAGAGCTAACGAGAACCAATATTTGTGAACAAACATTGGCAAACGATCATGGGGTAAATAAAGCTAAAACAATAGCGTTGTGGCTCCTTCCGTTAGTCTGTCCATTGAGTAAAGATTGGCCAACAGAGACTGCTCTGAAGTTTTATCAGTAAATTTTAACCAACATACTTTTTTAAAATAAAACAGACTCTGACTAAAATTGGCTTCAATTCGTATTTTAAAGAAATTTTTACATTTTGGCATATTGCTTGCATATTTTACGACACATATTTTATTTTGTACAGTGAGGAAGTGTCAACTGGTGCTTGTTTGGTTATTAATGGTGCTTTGCATTGCCCACCAGAGGATTCCTTAGGTTGTTGGGAGGCTTCTGGTAATCCGTCTTATCAAGGTCTCATGGACTTATTGCCAAGACAAAAGAAGTGGCGAGGTAAGGGTAATCAGTGTGCAGTATAGTATATTGTATTGCTTCTGTAAAATTTGTTTAGATCAAATAGATAAGAAATGATGTTGTACATTACCAGTGAATTCAAGTGTTGCTGTCCTACAATGCTTGAACAGTCACCAATGATGTTGTACATTACCAGTGAATTCAAGTGTTGCTGTCCTACAATGCTTGAACAGTCACCAATGATGTTGTACATTACCAGTGAATTCAAGTGTTGCTGTCCTACAATGCTTGAACAGTCACCAATTGTTTTAAAAGCAAGGGACAGGATATTGCAAAGACATGTCGCTTGTTAAAACCAGACAAGTAGTGGTAACAATGAAAATGCTCTTGGCACTTAGTAGTATAGAAATCGCAGCCAATTAATGTTTTCAAATGGGGGTTCGAACGACCGTGTCGCAGGGGTAAATGATCACCTCAGTTGTCATGGGCCGTGATGCTGTTTTGGCCTGGGAAGGACACTGAATACATGTGATGTGGCAATCACATATGGTCTGACGAATCATTCTGTTAGACAATTGCAGGGGAAAGAAGATGAAAATTAATGATTGCATATGTGTTATGTTTTTAGGACCTTTTGATTCTTCAGTCAGTCTCCGTGCAAAGATCTTGCTAAAGGAAGGTGGAATGGCAAACAACGTCACCGATGGCATGTTGGACCCATTCAAATTTGAAATTGAGGATGTTAAAGACAAACTGAAGAAATGCATTACACAGAGTATAAGGGATATGAGTGGATCTAAAAGAACTAAGAATCATGGTGTTGCTATGTGTTGTAATTGTGGCAATCCACATAATCTGCATTTATGTTCAGGTATGCTATTCAATATGTATTTATTGCTAACATATATTCATCTTTGATGCATGTTATTTTGTTTTTCTGATTAGATTCAAAATGGTGACCATTTTGATTTTTGACTCCCATGTGCGAAGCACAAAATGGGAGTCTTTGCAGTTAGTGTGTCTGTATGTGTGCGTGTGTGTGTGTGTGTGTGTGTGTGTGTGTGTGTGTACTTGGATTGCTATATGTTGCGAGGACAAAAATACAGATATATAGCTACTTCCGAGGACATACACACCTTCCGAGGACCTTTTTCATAGTCCTCGGAAAACATAATTTATATTAATAGTTAATTCGATTATTAATACGTTTT